CCCTTCCGATCGCCGGCGCGACTGTAGGCGTTTGCGGTTGGTGGAGGGTCTTAGCCGTCCGACGAGGAGGTGCAGCTGGCGCCGTCGTTGGAGTCAGAGTAGGAGAGGTCGACGAGCCACTTCATCCGATGGACCGTCTTGTCCTGCTCCCGCTTCAACCTGCCGACCCAAGCCTTCTCCTCCGCTACCTCCTTCGCCTCGTGCTCCGATTGCTCAATAGCAAGCCGGAGCGCCTTGGCGTTCTTCTATCGGAGGCGGCGAGCGTCCATCTCCGCCGTCATGACAGACCGGCAATAGACCCATGCGAGGAGACGTGCGTCCTCATCGGGATCCGCCTTCGTCCCGCGGAGACGGTGCGCACCCCTCTCCCATGCACGTTGCCTCTCGCAATGCACGGCACACGCCTCCTATTCCGGAGTGCACGTGCAGGCAGGTGGCGCGGACACAAGCACCCACCGCTGCCCGTGTGAAGTACCGTCTGGCAAGGGAAAGAGACGACACGAGGCGGTGCGGACTGCGCTATCCTGGCGTCGCTGCGCGCGCGCGGGTTGGGAGGGTCCAGCTCCGGCGTCCACACCGTACCAGCGCGGGAGCTGCGGCGACGCTCTAGATCCGGAGCTGCCGCCGGTCTCTACCTTGAACCGCTACAGCGCAATGCAAAGAGCCATCTCCTCCTCGCAGTCGAGCTCGAAGTCGGAGTCGCTGCCGAAACTGGTGGGATTGGAATCGGAGAGTGAGAGGAGAGGACAAAGCGAGAGAGAGTGAGCTAGGGTTTGGAGCGAGGCGCCCGGATTGGGTGTTTTTGTGGGACAGTTGTGGGGTCGGTGGTGGGTCTAGCCTATCAGGCGGACGCATCCGGACATGCCCGGGCCGCCCCATATTCGACCTATATTTGGGCTGGATATGAGGTGTGCCGGTCAGCCTGGGCGTCCGCGGTTTGAGAGGTCCGGTTGGGTCGATCTTTTTTGACCGGTCAGTGCCTGGACGGCCTGCCCGGGTGTTTGAGACGGATATGAAAGGCCTGACTGTTGATGCTTTTACTCCCTCCATTCCATAATATGAACCACTTGAAACCATTTGGATCCAAATCCATCATACGCAGTTCCAAATTCCGCTTTATAGAAAGCGTAGGAGAAGAATCTCCCAACGTACGTGCTGTCTCCCCCCGGAATAATTATCGTTTGGAGGAATGCAGACAGACACAAGGATGGATGTGCAAGCCACACACGCATCACTCGCTTTTCTCTTTTTGTTCTGCAATCATGTCATGGAGCATACATAATCATCGATCACAATGATGCATTGATACAGCACCAACCGAATTATCAGCTTGGAACTAATAATTTCAACACCGTACGTACGTGTGGCAAATCCAGATATCATTGTTTGGAAGGTTCTCCTATCCCTGAGAGGGTGAAGAAAACATGCCCAGATCAATTGGCAATCTGTGTGCGGTGCTAGTATTCCATTGGTATTTTATACGTGTCTGTTGCATGACGTGCATCGGTGCGCGGCACAATCTTCGTATCCTTGTCCAATATATACATGTGTATGAACAAGCTTTTTGACCTATCCTGCCGTGTATAGGTCATATCAGCATCTGTTCATCATGCAAAAGGGAAAAAAAAAGAGCCCTGCAAGAAGAAAAAAAAGAAAAAGGAAGAAAAAAAGAGAAAATCCTATCGGAAAAAACAAATGCAAAGGATGCGGGAGCAACTAAGGAAGGAGTACTCATAAGGGAACCCCCAAAAGGGTCACCTTGGTGGGCTGAGATCGTCGTCACTTGGTGTGCTCTCAGTCGCCGTCACGTGTCGCGCTCTGGATACTCCCTTCGATTTTATGTTTTAATATTTTCCGCACGTGTTTTCAGTTTTTTAGATGATTTTTTTGGCTTTTCGGTTTTTCACCGAACTTTCTTAGCTTTTTGAACAAAAATATTGCAAAAAATAATCAGAAAAATTTGGAAACAAAAAATGTGTTTTCTATTTTTTTCCGCAAGAGGCATGACCTCTCAGAAAAAAAAACATGAAACGAAAAAACAAGTTTTTTCTTCAGCGAGAGGCACGGATTTGCTTTCAAGGGTCGTGCCTCTTGGAAACGAAAAAAACGTGTTTTTTTTCTCTTCTGCGGAAGACAAAGATTTACTTCTGATGGAGGCAAGGATTTTTCTTCCACGAGAGACATAATTGTGCCTTTTTCGAAAAAGTGAACAGGTTCCTGGTTTGATTTTTTCGTCCGGTTTTTTTGATGAAAAAAACTTCATCAAATCCTATCAAGATGGGATATAGATTTGAAGATCTCGATGCGAGGAATCCAACAATGAAAATGGTCTAAGATTTGAATGCGTGATTTAAGAGATAAAATATTTTGAATAAACAAAAAAAAAAGAAAGAACTCACAGGTTGTGACAAGTGATGCACTACATGTGCGCCACTTGTTGTAACCTTAGAAGGTGATAGCTAGTGACCTTTATAAATAGTGCCTTTTATTTCTGCCCCCTAAAATAGTGCTTTTTATTTGAGATGATACAAATAGTGCTTCTTCATTAGTGATTTCGAAGGATGGCACCGCTCCAATCTTCCTCAATAGCAAAGGTAGGCCGAACCAGGCAGGATCATAGTTTTAAATAGCCTGCTATAGCACACTCCGCTATAGTTGTTTGAGTATATTGTCATTAAATGATTTCATGTATAATTTGTCGCTATAGCTCAGCTATAACTGTTTTTAAAGGTTGCCGTTATATGCCATAGCTCGATATTTAAAACACTACGTAGGACCCGTTCAGTTGGTCTTGGGCCTGCGTGGATGGGTACACAACAGGTTTCCACGAT